CCACTGCGTTATTCGCCGTAACCAACTCGTAGAGGACCCTAAGTCTTACCCAAAGTCTTTTACTCGAAAACTCTTAACGCCGTTTCATCAGATGTTGTCATCGTCCACGCCTCCGCAATATATAGCATAGCGAGAACGATGAGGGACTGGTAGAGTTTGATTTTCGTTCATCGGATGAGGACTTTACTCTTCAATTGCCTACTCAGTCCAAAGTAGCACCGGTTGGCAAGAGTGAATCTACGTTTGATTCCTGGCTGACATTGTGGTTGAAGTTTAGTCTGGTTCCAAAATAGACGAAGTTATCTGCGGCCTCAAAGTTGCAACTATCAACAATAACGTAGTAGCAGAGTTGCGAATGCGATGACTGTTTGTATGATGACAAGAGATATTTCGTCTTGCCCTCCTTCACTACCAGACCCATTTGCTTCGCTTCCTTATCCAGTCTAGAGAAAGCAGTACTCACAGCGCAGAGGTAGCATCGGTGGCTAGGTCACCTCTTCGTGTCCTACAGCAGTCTTCTCCGGTCTTGAGACCTTGTGTAAGTCGTCGTATCTTCTCATAGAACTTATCGGCCAGCTTCACAAGCTCTTTATACTTATGATTTCGGTCTCTTTTTTTGTCTGCATATGCGTCTTGCTTCCCTCTTAAGCTATCAGTATCTCTACCATCCAGAATGGCAGTGGTCGCGGCGGTCCCTCGCCCATTTACTCTGCTGTATCCTTGGTTGCACACAAGTAAACCAGTTCTGGTGAGTTTTATTTAGAATTTTTTTACATTAAATATAATAACGGTTGTAACTATGGCTGCCGCAGAGACTTTATGGCATGACAGCTTTAGTTTAACGACTCTCGTATTTTTCTTTAATTATGAATCTAGAGCTGATCAGGGAGTGACACCTCGCTTGATATACATATCCGTAGATGGACATTTTTTTTGATGAAAAAATGTTTCTGTTTAATAAATGAAAGATTCTTTGAGGCGAAGCCTTGTCTCATTAAATGCAGTGTAAAAGTATGAGTAAAGAAAGTAAATTGCATTAGTCGGCATAAAGTTAATTAAGTGGCAATATATGTATGAGCATACGCAGTAAATATGTGTGTAGGCAAAAGTGCGAAAGACGATAAATGGAAAAATATAAAGAAGATGCTGCACAAAGTTGACTGGCTGTCCGGAACATTAAGTGCTTATGAGGCATGTCCCATTATTTGCTGTCAGCAACAATAAATCTCATTTATTTTAAAAACAACAAACATTGAGGAGAAAGATATTCCATAGATATTCAAATGCGCCAGGGAGCGAATAAACTGCGGTCCGTAATTTTATTGCTCTGGAATTAAGTGATCGCTTTATGATTAAATAAAAAAAATTGTTTCTGTGAATTTATAAATTTGTACTAAAACTTGTGATATATGTATGTATGTATTGCTGAAAAATTAATGAATATTTATATGTATGTATATACATTTGTTCGCAGTTCTTAGATGAAGCAACGGTACTCAAAAATAATTTTTCGCCAGTAGTTATTGTGACCTCGCTCGAGTTAGCCCATCTAACCTCGCAGAGACCAAGAAGGAGGAGTTTGTAGCGTTAAAGTTTTTTATGGTTACGGCAGTTTAGTCGGGTCTAACAGTGAATGCATATTCCAAGTTCCTTCATCTTTCTATTAATGCTGAAGGTCATATCTACGATTTATCATAACAAATCTTGACTGCGTTAATTTCGGCTTCAGTAAAGGTTTACGATGAGTAAAAGCATTGCCTTTTACATTCGAGTCTGCCGCTAGAACCTTTAGGCTAACAGGAACGTATTAGTCCCGTTCTCGCTGATGTTAAGGTAATACCGTCTTTACTCAGTCGTTAGAGCCTCGCTATTAATGAAGCGGATAACCCGCGTGAAGTTGAGGTCAACGTTTGGAAGAGGTGGACTATGTACTGGAAGTTGATTATATATATTTTACGCTTTGTAACCGCTGAAGCGATTTTCTGCTGAGCTCTTCCTCCAATTTGTGGTTTTGCGTCTTGATGTTTTTCCAACAAATGGAGGGGTCTACAGTTTATACTAAGCCGCCTCCGCTTTATTTCATGTCAGAAATACACTCCGAGGGGTTGAAATTCCCTGCCGAGAGCGAACGCAATTAGAAAATTTAACTTAATTCTTTATTTCAAATAAATTTTCTATAACTTTTGGATGTTGGTTGCACGAGAATTTGCACCCGAGCCTTCCGAATGACAGTATGCAATTCTAACCGCTCGGCCATCACGGTTATTGGATCGGCTTCAAAGTAGGCTTTTGTCAACGAATTATTCACGCAAATTCTCTGTTATGTTTGCCAGGCAGTCGGCTTCCATGGCTTCTTGACTGCTTTGCATATCGCACTCGTCTAACCACCATTTACAATGAGCTTTATGAATGGAAGTCGGCATTGTTTCGTTACAGACAGCGATCAATTTGTTTCTCGATCTTTATACGACTAATGGAGGGACTTAATGTTTTTTCTAAGCCGTGCTCGAACTGCTGTTGGATATTTCATCTTCATGATAAATATCTGATCAATGGTACTAGGCCTGTAACTACACTTTTAGGATCCAGTCGGTTCTTACACGGTGGGCTTCGAACTCTCTCACAATGGCTATCCAGAATGACTGGCGGATCAACCAGAGGGTGCGTTTTGCGTATGACGTGTGCCCCGATAAGAAAGAGTTTCAAGAAGCGGGTCAATATACTTTTAAATCATTTGATTTAAATGAAATTTGCCTAAACTGATGTGGGGAAGACTTTTTATTCCTGGTAGACGATATGGGATTGATCTGTTGAAGATAGTTGTCATAGCGGAGCTGGTGCGAATTTATGGAGACTCTCTAATAAACGAAAAAAAACATATATATTACAAATTATATACTTTCAAGTATCGAAACAAGGTTAGCAGATAACTTTTGGTTTTTTGGATGCCCCTGGTGGAATAGACAAAGCTTTTGTAATAAATTGATAGTTGGTCAATGTGAGAACCAAGCATGATAAGGCCTGTCGTACCGTTCGGAAGTGTTGCCACGCTGTTGTAGGAGTTAATGTGTTGTTAGTAGGCGATATTCGACTGAGTTTACCAGTAGTGCATAGGGGAGTGCGAGCGAACGAAATTTAAGCATGCGTGAGGCGTAATAATTTTTGATTCTCATCAAAAAAATATTACAGTATATTTGAGAGGAAATGTTACTAACGGACAGCTTTCGAAACTGACAAACATTATTAAGAAAAATTGTTTCTACTGTGGGAGAGTTTATAGCTGAAATTAACCAAACCACAAATGGTAATGCGAGCGTGCCAGCTTAACACCAACAAATGAGCAAGCCTCAGCCATGAATGAAATACTTTTAAAATCATTCGAAGAGCTCGAATGCCGGTATATACATATGTGTCGACTCAATGGCAAACAACGACAGTGCCACTCATTATTCGACGGAGTTCCCGAATACACTAAAACCTCCATTCTGTGCAAAATAAACCCACCTAAATTATGCAATGTTACCAGATTACAGGCGAGAATATTACATCGAAATACAATCGAGGTCAAGGCCACGCATGCTCCAGAGTAAGTTTACAAAGTAACCTGGTGATTCCACCATCCAACGGAGAAACAAAAAATATTGTCTATAAGAAAATATAGCGATATCTAGATATAGATTTCAGAATTTTATTTTATTTGCAAGTTTACTTAAGGGCCTAAATCCCTACATTGCAATAAAAAATCGTTACATATTTTAAGTATTCCGAAAAGAAAATTCATATAATAATTTATGTATTACTGTAAATTAATAAGCCTAAAACAAAAAAAAAAAAAAATGCATTTTCTAATTCTATCTCGGGTTAACTCTAGTAACACTATAAGGGCTTATATCAAAATTTAATTTACTAAATTTTGTTGATTTGTACTATTTTCAATATACAAAGCAAAGTTACGCATGACCTTGTATTTTAAGCCGAAGCTGGTATCTTTTAGCAAGGCTTTGAACAATAATTAAAAATTTCATTCAAAATCCAAATACGGAAAATAAATAAAAATAATGAAATCGCTTTACAACCTTTGCATAACCAAATTTCTAACGATTCTGTTTATTAGTACATTTGGACACTATATTTATTTGCTTATTTAACTTTTTTTTTCATTACGAATATTGCTGAATTGTTTTAAAAATGTCACAACATTCACAGACAAACGTGTTTAACCTCAAATGACTTTAATTATCGAGATTCTCTCTAAAGCATGGTGGAGTTGAAAGATTTTCAAACATTTTAAACGCTGACAGATAACATCGTGGGACGTGAGATGATGCTACAGCAACAACAACAACAACAACAACAACTACTACTACAACAACAACAATTAATAATAATTACAATGCAATGACATGAATAACAAGAGTAACAAAAACCAGCAACAAAAACAAAAATAATAATACAATAGCAACATTAACCACAAGATCAACAATAACCTTAAATAGTAAATGTTTGTAAATACACACATTTACTTAAATACATATGTATGTACATATGTACTTACTCATACAAAATAAATAGATAAACAATGCAATGCTGCCAACCACACGAAATATAAACATAAAATTTAAGAAGAAGAAAACAACACAAACAATGTACACACAATCGTGCGACTCTGTTAACGACTGTTAATTAGCAGTTGCTGTTGATATGCAAAAGCAGCAGAGGATAATGCTGTTACGGCGCAGCGTTTGCCAACGGCAACAGCAGCACGTACGACGCGTGAACGAAGCAACCGTCGATCATTGTACGATCCTATACGCCTGGCTGAGACGGTGGTTGCTCATCCGCATAGTCGTAACGATCGTTAACTGTTTTGCGTCGACGCTGAGGTTATTGATATATCGCGAGCGTTGCCCGGATCTATTACATGCATATGTGTATGAATGTAAACGCTTGCAGCCGCGTCGATGTTAACTTTGGCGCAGTGTGCTTTATAGCTGCAGTGTGTTTCTCGCATTCAGGTGTCACGGACTGCCGATCAAGTCGCCGTTGCAGGTGTTGTGGTCGTTGCTGTCTTGGACAAAATTGAGTCTGTTTTTGGCTGCGCTGCGGTAAGGTTCTGAAAATAATTGCTTGGTGATTAGTTAGCGAAAAATTCTGAAATTAAAAATAGTGAATGTACAACAAAGCAAATAACAAATAATAAAAAACGGTTAATCTGTAATAATGAACAAGAGAAAAACAAACAAATAAAAAATATTAAAATAAAAAAATATTTTTAATTAATTTTTTTTTCCGTGAAACTTGAGTGCGCTTTTTCTATTTCAAGATTTTTAACTATTGTTATGTGATATATGTACATACATATGTGCGCGCCTGCGTACAAGCATTTGAAAAATGTTTTCCAACGGTTTTTTCTTCCTCGTACATTTCGAATATTATGTAATTTTTATTTGTAATTTTTGTTTGCGCATGCGTTTAAATTATTTTCTCAATACTCGTGTATATAATATATTTGCAAATATGCATTTGCCCTCATATGTATGTATAAGTGTCTTTTCGTGCGTTGCAATATAATTTTCAAATCCGTTACAGCTCGCAAATTTTTCACTGTTTTCGCTTTCGGTTTAATATTTATTTAGTGCGCGCGCTTGTGTGTATATGTTCATCGTTATGTGTATTTGCGCGTGCGCGTGTGCGCGACAGCTCTCATTCTTTTGTCACTGTGTGTGTGTGTGTGTGTGTGTGGGTTTTTATTTCGACCAAAAATTTTTTCAAAGTAAAAACGGTCAACGTTTCTCTACTTTACTTTATTGACCAAAATAATTTGTATCAATTTCGCTGGAGTAGTTTTATTGTTGTTGTTGTGCTTAGTGCTTACCTACTACAGTAGTTATTGCTTCTCTTTCGATATTATTGCGTGCCTACCTTCTGCGTTTTCATTTTTCAATTACGAGTTTATTTTTATTTTCATTGGTATTCTTTATTTCGATTACTTCACTCAGCTCCGACTACTCAAAGTGGAATAGAAATTTTTGCAACGAAACTGCTGCAGTTTTACGAACTTTAAAGCAAAATTGTTTTCCAGGTAAGTGATGTTAAAAAAAAAATATTTACGCTAAATAATAATGATACTAAAAAATAATGGAAATATAAAAATATTAATAAAAACAAAATTTAAAAAAAAAAAATTTAAAAAAATTAAAAATAAAAAAATTTAAAAAATAATAAACGAAAACTTTACTATAAGAATTGATTTTCAGATAACAGTTTTTTTTTTTAAATAAGAGTTACAAATATGTATATATTTTGAAGAGAAGTTTTCATAAGCCGCTGCTAGATTCACTGTGATTATTATAATTATTAAGTTAATGGATAAACTCTTTCGAAGTTTCGAAACGAAGTTATTTGAATGACAGAATTATTTTTAATTTTATAGAAGTTTTGAAAGAACGATTTCATTTTGTTGAATGCTTATCTCAAAATTTTTTGAATAATATTTTTTTTAAAATCATCAAAAATTCAAATATAAAATTACAAAGGAGTAAGCACATTTTTTCTTTAAGCCAAGTTAGTCAAATTCTCATATATTTCTAAAAAATATTTGCTATAGTAAAAAATCACTATAGTTAAAGAATTAACAGCCTTTTGTTGGTTAGGAACAGGAATTTTTTAATAACTGAAATCTTTTTCATTTTTATCACAGGTTTTTGAAGACTTCACTTTGTCAAAATTTTCAGAAATGGATTCTTTTGAGAAGCTTTTATTTCATACCAGAAATACATTCGGATATTTTGTGCCGAGAGGCGACCGCTTTAAGAAAAAAAAAATTTTTCAGAACTACAAAACTGGTCTTCCAGTGGACGCACTGTCAGCTACTTGGCTATGGCCATATTTTTGGGCAAAATTTTTCTTTTCGAGTAGCTTCATAACACCTTAAGTGTAGATCATCCATAGTTTATCGGCGAAGAGCTAGGCTAAATGGTTTCCAGCAGCTCTTCGATGGGCCAATTTTTTAACACCCAGAAAAGTTTTGCAGTGACTGAAATAAATAGTAGTCTGATGGCGAAAGTTCCGCTCGACAAGGTGGCTGCTTCAAAACTTCTCTACCAACTTTTGTAAATTTTAGCCTGCACAGCAAGGATATACATATGTGGTCTGGCTTTGTCATGATGAAACACAACATCTTTTCTCTACATCATTTCTGGACGATTTTTTTTGAAAAGAGCTGATTAATTGATGGCAGTAGAGCTCAGAGTTGATGATTGTCAGATTGCCCGGTTGTAGCAACTCAGAATGGATAATTCATCTCCAATTTCCATTCAGGGTTATGAGGGGTCCATAGCCTTTGACCATGATTGTTTTCTTAATTTAATACTCTCTGATTTCACCCAATTTGATCGCCCGGAATGAGTCGCTCCAGGAACGATTCGGATTTGTCGTGCTTAAAAAACCCTTTAGCCAGCCTTTTTTAAATATTTCCAAATAAGTATTGTTTAAACTCGTGTAAGTTAAACACAATCGGATTAATGTTACCCGAAGAAGAAGACGAAATTCTCTAAAAAAAGAAAAGAGTAGAATAAATCTCAAATTTTTGTTCAAGTCAACTTGTCTGTGTCTGTTTTTTAAATTTTCATATGTATATAGGTATGTGTATATTATTTCCATCAAAATCAATAAAAAAAAAACGGTATTTAATTCAGTGCAATAGACTTAAATAACGGCACGTTTTCGAAAAGTCTGATTGCTTAAACGAAATAAATATAAATATTTATAACAGTCAATGAATATTTGACTATTTCTTTCTTCTTTCTGCTTTGTGCTTTCTTCTTTCTGTACAAGGCAGAAATTACACTTGAAATAAATAAAATTGGCACGTACTTGGAGGCTTTCGAAATTTTCTTTTTATTGTTACTACTATTTATATTTTGTAGTTATAATTTTTTTCTGAAATTTTACGAAAAGAAATCAAATTAAAAACCGCAATTAAAAGCTAAAAAATAAAATAAAATATAATTTTTTGTCAAATAATCTATTTTTTCCCAATTTTATTATTTCAATTTATTCTTTTTTTTTAATATTATTTGAAAAACTAATATAAATTGCTAACATTTTAAACATAAAAATCGTATTATTTACTTTTCCACTCCTCATTTTTTGCTGTTACCGTGAAAATCTTTAAAAATGTAGGTACATTTTTATAACCTTTTTCCATTCCTTTGTTGTGCTCAATAATTCAAATATACACATGTATATATGTATGTATATACGAGTATATACTTTCGTTAAGTTAAACAATTTGTTTTTTTTTTCGTATAGAATCTCAGCCTTCAAGTATTTAGTACTTTTATTTTCGTACTATTCGAAATTCGTTTTAACGATTTGTGTTTTGTCGTTGTTTATTTCGTTTTTTAGTGAGAAAAAACTCCCTAATGATTACTGATCGGTTGTGTTATTTGTGTAATTAACAGATTAGCACCTGCATAGTTGTTAGTTCCTCATTGTTAAACTCCTTTACATATGTACATACACACGTATGGATGTCTGAGGTTTATGTGTATGAGAATTTGTAAAACCATTTGTGCATATATAAACATATTTATATATAATATATATATATATATAAATATTATATATATTTGTGTGTAATTTAGCACTTTTATATAGTTTATTTGTGACATTAACATATATGTGCGTAGACATACATATGTATATGACTATATGACTATGTACATACTATAAAAATTTGATCGAAAAATCATCTCCACTGATGTGTCTACGTCCATAAGCAAAACTGCCGCATCTGGAGCACGGAAAACCCAAGACTCAAGAATTCTTGAAAACCTCCATAGTTTAAATTTGTGGTTAGAAATTAGTTTGATGAAAATTTGTTTTTGTATTTTTTTTTCTATTTTTTAAAGAAAAACTTCTGAGCTTTTCCCATATCTCACAGTCACAGTTACACATTCGCTGCAGTAGCAACAAAAGCAGCTGCAACAATTTGGCGAAAAAGCTGGAAGCAACAAATCATTTCAGAATAGTTTGTGTTTCGCACTTTGTTTACGCTCCTCGAGAGCCATTCATCATTTCAAGCTACGCTTTGTTGTTATTATTATTGACTTGCTGTACAAGTACGTATGTGGTTTGTGTTAGTTGAACTACATATGTATGTATGCATCTATCGTGTCTCTCAGAGTACATATTTTCATGCATACGAGTATGTAGGTATGTATGTATGTATGTATGTATTTTTCATATCTAAGTATTCTGTTGCAAGCGTTGTTGTTATCGCCTGATATCTGCTTGTTTTTACATATGTACATATGTGTAGGTGTGAGCAATTTCCACTTCACTCCACTGCCTGCACGAATGAATAGTTAGATACTCGTATCTGTCGCTGTTTGCGCGTGTTTTCTGCTTTTGCTTTTATCAGCAGCAGATTGCGAAAATTTCAAGTGCATTTTACTGCAAATATTTGTTGGTTACGCCTAATTCGCATTCTAAACGCGCGAACGCGTCGAACATCTAGAATGATGATGACTGCAACGGCAAGCAATGTACATACATATGTATGTGTGTATGTATACACATTAGGGTGTTTTGAAGTTTTGAAAATCTATTTTTGAAATAAATAAAATAAATATTAAAAACTTTGATCTTTGTTTCTTGGTGGAAAGTCGAAGCATCTGCCAAAAATGACTAATTTGGGGTTGCAAATTATTTTTATTACAATTATGACTGCTGATACTGCTTATAATACTACTACTATTACTACTACTACTACTGCTGCTGCTGCTGTTACTACTATCATTACTAGACTACTATAGCAGAGGATCGTTAGGAAATGGGTCTTCAACAGTCCATAATGAATCTTGTAGAGCCTCCTCTAAGAAACAGGATCATTATCGCAAAGATGACCAATATTACCAGTCAGACACACAAAAAGAGACACTCTTCAAGGTGGAGTTTTATCGCCACTGCTGTAGTGTTTAACAGCAAACATACGCTGACGACTTTGCCCTAACAACGACAGGCAAACGTCCTCAAACTTTAAGTAATCTACTCCAAAAAGCTATATATATATATAGTTGGAACTGGCGTAAGAACAGATAGCGAGCAGGATATTAAACCAGGGAAACCTGAATTGGTTCTATTTACCAGCAGGTACGAACCGTCTACTTTTAAGCCTCCCAAACTGAGGGGCGTGGAGATCGTGCTCTCTAAAGAATTCAAATATCTCGAAATAACCTTAGATAGCAAACTCAACAGAAGCCGGAAGAAGGCAAAGAGGTGAAGAACGGTTATTACTTCACTTTACGCTAGCAAAAGGGCGATAGGAAAAAGATAAGATCAAAGATCGAATATCGATTTACGCATATTGCATTTATACGTCGGTAGTTAGACCAATACTACGCTACGGCGACATCGTTTGGTAGCCGGTACTCGACATAATTACCTTCGGCAGCAAATTAGTGAAAGTTCAACGATCGGCTGCTATCCGGGTAATAGCAGCACTACCATCAACTTCTTCAGAAGCGTTGCTAACTTTTCTCAACTTTTTCTTCCTTTAAGGAAAATTGCAAGCGAGCTGAAACGCAGTCAGATTGAATGCAACTTAACTCTGGGGGAATTGCAGTAGAGGACACGCGCAACTATTATGTTTGACAGTGGTGCCGAAGGAGCTGGACCTCCGCACTTCCAATATGTGGTTCGACAATCTTTTCTCTACTAGAATCCCATACAGAAATGAGTGGGAACACCAACGATCTCGATTATAGAGCAATGCCCATCTTTACAAATGCCTCAAAGCTCGACCGAAAAGTGCCATTCGGTAGGCTCGAGTTCAAATCCTGTTGTCATACTAACATCCAAAAAGTTATAGAAAATTAATTTAAGTAAAAAATTAAGTAAAATTACCTAATTGCGCACCTCCTCGGTAGGGAATGTCAACCCCTTCGAGTGTATTGCGGACATGAAATAAAGCTCCTCATGAGCCATCAACTGTTCGGAGGTGGCTTAGCATAAACTTTATGTTCCTCCATTTGTTGGAAAAACATTAAGACGCAAACCCACAAATTGGAGGAAGAG